CCGATGATGTCCCAGATTGTATTTTATTTGACAGCAAATCTATCAGTACGAATTGATAGAAATTCAAAGCTCTGACAATCTTTTGTCGATTTGTGTGTGTGTGTGCGTCTGTGTGTGTGTCTCTCTCTGTGCATGTGTGTGTGCGCGCGTGTGTGTGTGCGCGCCCGTGTGTGTGTGTGTGTGCATTACGAGGTGTTTGGTTTAACCCGTAATGACCTCACTGTTGCATCCTACAGGACGGGAGACGGGTACGACAAATACCCAGAGTTCCTGTTCACTGAAGCTGTTTTGAAAGCTTCCAGAACGTGGACGTCAGGAACGATGTTTAACTACATAGCTGTCGGCAACTTCATCGTTGAGGAACTGACAGGTAAGTGGAAACACAGGGTAAAACGGGAAGCAAATTGTGGTAATGAATTGTTACTAAACCTCGCTGGAGCTAAGGACCCTTTTGGAAATGGCAAATTTTAACATTAAGGCATTTTTTGATAGAAATTCAAAGCCGTGTTTGGTAGCGAAGTGTTTTTAGTAGTTAGGCAATGTGTTTGGGAGTGAAGTGTGTTAGCTGGTCAGGCAAGGTGTTTAGTAGTGAGACACTGCGTTTGCTAGTGAAGCGTGTTTAGTAGTGAGACAGTGTGCTTGGGAGTGAAGCGTGTTTAGTAGTGAGACAATGTGCTTGGGAGTGAAGTGTGTTTAGTAGTGAGACAATGTGTTTGCCAGTGAAACGTGTTTAGTAGTGAGACACTGTGTTTGGGAGTGAAGTGTGTTTAGTAGTGAGATAGAGTGTTTGGGAGTGAAGCGTGTTAGGTGGTCAGGGAAGTTGCTTAGTGGTGAGGCACTGTGTTTGCTAGCGAAGCGTGTTTAGTAGTGAGACAAAGTATTTGGGAGTGACAGGAGTGTTTAGACAGGAGGAGGAAGGCAGGAAGAGGGACTGCTTCTAAGCCAGGGAGTGCAACTGACGCAAGAGTGTTCATAACGGATTCAATGTCGCAGGTAATTGATATCCATACCACTTGCAGGTGAAATATCGACGACAGCGCACGTGTATGTCTTCATAGAACTGATCGGTGATGGAGCTTTGACTGATCGAGAAAAGAGTGTGGTATGTGAACAAAGTTACAGAGAGTACATTAACTTTGTTTCTAAACAATTACAGGATTTTAAGGATATAGTTTTTAACATATCCAAGATAATACATGTCTTCAACTAATCATTTATAAGCAAACTCTGAGCAATGCCAAAACATGGCCATCAGAAGATCTAAAAGATGAATAATATCTCCTGCACATACGACTATTTTTAATGTCTGAACAACTGATGACCAAGCGTTCGGAAAAAGTCGCAAAGGTTGCATTCTTGTGGGATGCACGTATCTACACGATGTTTCGTAATGTTCTCATGGTTATGCATGAATATTGTATTTGAAGGTAACATGTCCTCAATCAGCAATGTTGTCGTAAGAGGCGACTAACGGGATCGGATGGTCAGGCTCGCTAACTGGGTTGACACATGTCATCGTATCCCAGTTGCGTAGATCGATGTTCATGCTGTTGATGTCTGATTTGTCTGGTCCAGATCCGATTATTTATAGACCGCCACCATTTAGCTGGAATATTGCTGAGTGCGGCGTAAAACTCAACTCACTCAGTCACTCACTGACTGAACCAGCAATGTTGTGAGTTCTTACCAGCTAGCTGCTCTGTGGTGAGGTAAGGTGTTTAGTTTTGAGGCAAGGTGTTTGCCTAGACACCTATCTCCTGTCTTTACGCCTGGAACCTGCGTATATACGCATACAGCCCATGTTTATACACCTGCTACTTGTGTCTAGACACCTACAACCCGTGTCTATACGCTGGCAACCTGCGCTGACACATCTGGAAGCTGTATGTACACACCTGGAAGCTGTGTCTGTACACCTGAAACATGTGCCTGTAATATGCAAGTTGTGTCTTTACACCTGCGACCCGTATCTGTACATTTGCATCATGCGTCTATACACCTGTCACACTGTGTGTTTATTCGTCTTAAACGACAATTAATTTCACTGCTGATCTATATTTCTTACCACACTGACACTTATGTCGCTGTAGGTTTAAATTATCTACCACACTGACGCATATGTCGCTGTTGATCTAATTGTCAACTCTCACGTCAGTTACTGTAGCTTTAAGACCTTTATTTTCATAGCCAGTGACATTGTTCTTGTTTCCAGATCGACGAGAGTCTTCAAGAAACCCAGGATAGGTACAAACGTTTCCGTTCCAGTGGAAGCTATGCCCCTGCTGTTGTCGTTCAAGTGAGGCCTGGGACGTTAGAGGAAGTGAAGAAGATCTACATGAAGCTAAACCCCGATCTTTACACAGAACAGTTCAAGTACCCAAAGTTTATAAAACACAAAGACGTTGTAGCTTGTCTGTTGTCCCGCAGAGTGAAGTCTACCAGCTGAAATTATAGTATGACCAGAAATTATTGAGAATTTTAGGAATATGTTTAATTGGATTTCTAGTATAAACAACCTTGACCAGCTATCAAGTGCTTGGTTTCATTCAAGAGAGACAACTCCGTTAATCCTTTTTCATTAGTTTGTGAAGAGTTATCCCCCCTTTGTTTACTTGCTAGCAGACATTTTCATTGATCCTCAGTATGGATGATTTAGAGAAGAGGAAGTTCCAGCTGAACTAACTAACGTGCAGTCCTGATTCAGTAATCTCGTTAATCTCAATCTCGTTAATCTCAATCTCTTTAATCTCATGTGAAACAGAGGCTTCACTGTGAAGCCTCACACAACAACGCAATAATGTTCAAGAGAAACAATTTTTATGGATAAAAACATCTTTATTGCAATAGATGTGACGTATCAGTGTAGATGGTAACACCGTTATCAGGCAAGTGATACACAACATTATGCAAAACAAGCTACAATGTTCTTCGAGATTAACAAATGTCTGAATATATTATGTGGTGAAAAGAGTTTTATACAACAGCATCACACTAAATATATGATGATTGGACATGTTATATACTACTGGTACCGGAATAAAATGCGCCCATGACCCATCCTTTCTCTCAATATCCCTTCCGGAAAACCCTACATTTTCCCATTAAGTCCTGTGATTCACATTTTTAAAACGGAATCTCTGTACCTCTACCGGGCAGTCGGAATTCAAAGTTATGTAAGATTCTATCCGGTTTATCCACCACTTCACTGTCTGGTTAGTTTCACCGACGCATAGCATGGCAGGGCGGATGCAGCACTCCGCCTCTGGATCCACAAACGTATGCTGGAGGTTCTGGATAATTTTAAGCCTTTCGTGTGAATGGTTGGTGCTACCGGTTGGGTAGGACTTGATTACCATTTTTTGGAACACCTGGTGTCATCACTGTTTTCAGTGACCTTTTCACATAATTTTCACAAATATCATTTCCCTTTACATCAAACGAAATGTATTTCTGAGGATAGTCAAGACTACATATATTGTTGGCTACATATATTGTTATCTCAAACAGTACCATCACTCGGTGCTCACCCTTCTGCCAATGAGTTGCAATGGGATAACGTGAGTCTGTGAGGTAGCGTGGACAATCACAGGGACCGTCCATCCTTGGGTTGGTCAAGCTACTACCTTCACACACAACCTGACAATAATAAGTCATATATACTTGGGGCACTATACATAGTAAACAAATCAGAACAGTCCATAACAACCTGACAACAATTAGTCATATATACTTGGGCCACTATAGATAGTAAACAAATCAGAACAGTTCATAACAACCTGACAACAATTAGTCATATATACTTGGGCCACTATAGATAGTAAACAAATCAGAACAGTTCATAACAACCTGACAATATTTAGTCATATATACTTGGGGCACTATAGATAGTAAACAAATCAGAACAGTTCATAACAACCTGACAATATTTAGTCATATATACTTGGGGCACTATACATAATAAACAAATCAGAACAGTCCATAACAACCTGACAACAATTAGTCATATATACTTGGGCCACTATAGATAGTAAACAAATCAGAACAGTCCATAACAACCATCGCAGATGATTATCTGTAATCTATGATGCATATGTATAAAGGGCAGTGGTCCCAATAACTGAAATATACACAATCTATCAAAGTGAACCAACCACAAGAGTTCATGACAACCTGTCAAAAACTAGTCATGTATACTTAAGACACAATACATAGTGAACCAAATACAGTGGAAGCTGTCAAAACCGGCAGCTGTCCAACCCGGCAAGTTGTCAACACCGGCACAACATCTCAGTCCCGTCCGTGGCTAGTACATTTATCATCATTTAAAAGCTCTACAATTCGGCAGCTGTCAATTCCGGATCTCGGCTTGAAATGAGCCGCCCAAATATGTGTTTATACAGCGCTGTCTAATCCCGCGTGTGTCGAGGAGTTGGTTGGATATGTATTGTCACCAATTAATCCTGCGTTAAAACTACATGTTTGTAGACAAAGATAATTTCATCTTAGTTCAATATGGGTATACTTGTACATGTAATTAGTGAGTTGAGAGAGAAATTGAGAAAAACACCTTATACAACAATGTATATGAGAGTGATAAAACTGGTTTAGTTCTAGTCGTAGGTAACCGTGTCATCTCTACAATCCGGTACTCTGTCTAAAGCGGATTATTTCTTCAGTCCGGATGTGTGCCGGTTTACAAAGCTTCCACTGTTCATAACAAATCAATATTTGATCAATTGTACTAGTTAGCTTCACATGGTACCAATTCCATAAACCCATAACACATAATCTCATGTCGTGATTATATACAGTGTAGAAACATTACACACAGAGAGTCAGCTTCATGACTATCTGATATCGACAATAACTGTTAAAACAAACTAGAGGCAATGTTAATAAGCCCCATAACTATCTCTCTTTCTCCTTAAATCCTCAGAGTTCTTCATATCTATCGTGTTGATAAATCAATGACCAAGAACAACACCATCTTCTGTACACAATCACAGTGACTGCTTCTGAGCAACACGTCCCTGCAAAAGTGTAACGCTAGTTTTGTTCCTACCATGAGTTGCATAGTCAAGGGCTGTCATCCCTTGCTGGTCCGTTACAAAGGGATCAGCATTATTATCTAGTAGAAGTCTGACATTCTCACTGCAATAACCTTCAGCTGCATAGTGAAGAGCAGTTTTCCCAAGTTGGTCGCTCAGTGTTGTCACAGAGCCTTTGTTCAGAAGTAGACGTACATACAAGCTGGAGTCACCCGCTGCTGCAAAGTGCAGCGGAGTTCTTCCTTCATTGTCCTGCTGACTTGCATCCACGTCACTGTCTAGTAATACCTGAATATTGTCTCCGTGTTTTGTTTCTGTTGCATAGTGAAGTGGAGTTTTCCCCTGTTGATCTTTGGCATATGGGTCTGCACCTTTCTCCAAGAGCCGTTTAACATTCTCACTTGTTCCATTTGCTGCTGCATAGTGCAGTGGTGTTTTGTCTTGCTTGTCTTTAATGAATGGGGTAGCATTATCGTCCAAGAGAAGTTGCAGGCTATCACCGCTATTGCTCTCAGCTGCATAATGAAGTGCAGTTTTACCTTGATTGTCCGTCACAGAATGACTGCATCCTTTCTCAACGAGGAGCTTAGCAATACTCTTCGTCTTCTTCTTGGTTCTTTCGGATACATACCGATAAGATCCGGCATTGTACCTGAAGACGTTAAAGAGATACTCGGCTTCAACTGCAGCATGCAGGGCTGTTTTGCCTTGTTGGTCCTGTATACAGGGATCACCTCCGCTTTCCAACAGCAGATTAGCACACTCCCAATTTTTATGCTCTACTGCATAGTGAAGGGCCGTTTTGCCTTCTTTGTCCCGCATACCCGGATATGCACCCTTCTGCAACAATAAATCAATACTTTCTAGTTCGTGAATTGCTGCCAAGTGAAGAGGCGTTTGGCCCCCATCATCCTTCGCACAAGGATCAGCACCGTTGTCCAAAAACAGTTTCACACTATCATCGCGGTTTTTCTTTGTTGCAAGGTGAAGAGGAGTTCTCCCTGAATGATTCTTTGTATTGGAATCAGCACCATGAGCCAACAGTTGCTCCACGCTATCTTTATTGATATATGCTACATAGTGAAGAACCGTCATGCCTTCTTTGTCCCTGAGAGACACATCAGCACCTTTGTTCACAAGTAACCGAACATTCTCATTGTGTCCATATTTGGCTGCATAGTGAAGGGGTGTTTCACCATTGTGGTTTTGTACACACGGGTCGAAGTTCTTATCTAAGAGAAGCTTAACAATATTTGAGTATTTTGTTTCTGCTGCATAGTGAAGAGGGGTCTTTCCTTCTTTGTCTTGTACGTCCCATTCTTGACATTTTTCCAGAAGTAGCTCAACATTCTCAGTGTTGCAATACAATAATGCCCAATGAAGAGCTGTCATGCCTTTGTCATCCTGTACAGAGGGATCAACACCGCTCTCCAGGAACAATCCGAGAACTTCACTATTTGCATTACAGGCAGCAAAGTGAAGTGTAGTCTGGCAGTGTCGATCCCGAGTCTGTGGATTTGCTCTGTGTTTCAACAGCTGCATGACATTCTCTCTGTCAAGACATTTTGCAGCAATGTGAAGTACAGTGGCACCATGCGTATCCTTTACACAAGGACTGGCTCCATTTTGCAGGAGTAAGTTCATAATGACACAGTTCTGACTTTTCACAGCATAATGAAGGGCATCTCTGCCACAGTTATCTGGAACAGTAGGGTCTGCTCCTTTTTCAAGTAGAAGCTTAACAGTCTCAGAATCTTTAAGTTTTCCTGCAAAGTGAAGGGCTGTTTTACCATTTTTGTCCTGAACATCTGGATTGGCACCTTTTCCTAAGAATAGCCCTACATTGTGAAAGTGTTGTTTCTTTACAGCTCGGTGGAGCACAGTCCGACCTTTTTCATCTGGAACACATGGATCAGCGCCTCCTTCTAGAAGTATTGTCAGTTTGTTCTTGTCCCCCTTGATTGCAGCATAGTGAAGCACTGTACGGCCCCGTTGGTTCTTCATGTTTGGATCAATATCATGGTCTAGCATTAGCTTAATAAAGCCATCTGACGGAGATATTGCATTGCCAAATTGGTTTTGGCCAAAGGCATATAACAGTAAACTGTCCCCAAATTTATCTATTTGTTTGAAGTCCAGTTTTCTGGACGACAGAAAGTGCAGAACCTCCAAATACCCAGTTTGTAAAGCTGACGTGACAGCTGGAAATACGACAGTCCTTTCAAAATGGTCTTTTATGCTCAGAGGCACCTGCTTAGTGTCCAGAAGATATTGGAGTTTCTCCACAGCATCAATTGGGGATGCTGCAGACTTGTGTATTACTGTTTCCCCATTGTCGTCAGCTACGTCAACATCAGCACCATGTTCACAGAGCAACTTAACAACGTCAATATCAGCATTTCTACATGCAGCAAGAATAACTCTCTTACACAGCTTCCGTTCCTCTGTGATGGCGATATTGGGAATGTTCTGCTGTGTATCCATGTTCACGTTGGCTCCCTTGTTACACAGATACTTTACAAGAGCAAGATGTCCATACTCTGTCGCTTTATAAAGAAGTGTCCTGTTTTGTGCATCAACCTCATTAATGTCGCTTCCTGCTTTTATGAGTCTAGTAACAATGTTCAGCTCTGGAAGGGATGTAAGTTTCATACACAATAACGGTATACACCCATTGCTGTTTTTCATGTCAACCAGTGCATGCTTTGAAAGTAGCAGGTCAACACTTTTCACCTGGTTGTGTTTGACAGCAATATGAAGTGGTGTATTTCCATTTCTATCCTGTGTATTGACTTCAATGCCTTTCTTTAGCAGCAGTGACGCACACTCAATGTTACCATGTTGAACTGCAGTGTGCAATAAGAACGCATCGTTGTTAATTACTCTTCGTTCCGGTTTAATATCCGGCTTCACCTGTCCAGCTTGTGTGCAACTGAGGATTTCTTCCAGACAACTCCCTCCCCCATAAGCTGCTGCCTGTTGTAGAGGCGTTGGATAATATTCCTCTTTGCTGAACATGTCTTCACTATTTGAATATATATCCTTCACATTCACACCTTGCTCAAGAACAAGTCGCAAAACAGTTGCATCAGCATGAGTTGCTGCTTGCAAAGTGAGATAGTCAAAATCTACCTTGCATCCTGTGCCAAAGAGAATTCTGACTATTTCACTTAGATGCCTTATATCATAGGGTTTAAACCTGGGACACCTATGGCCTGTACTAAGTTCCCTGACAAGACTTGCTAAGGCATAACTGAAGATCCTCAAGCTGTCTGTGTCACCCTTTAACCTTTTGACCAGTAGGTGTACAATGTGTACGTTTCCATTCATTACAGCTAGCCAGAACAGATCTCTTAGATTGGATATGGAATCCCATGTGAAGCTTCTGTGCTCTGCCACAACAACGTTGAAAATAGTCTCGGTGACATCGGCGTCTATTTGTCTTGCTGGACAAAGAGCTCTGAAGCATTGTTCATCTGGTGTCGCTCCATAATCAAGTAATTTCTTGACAAGCTCATTTCTACCTACATACACAGCACAAGGTAAACACTCCTGGAGGATGCCTGTATCTGTATATCTATTCATAGCAATCAAAATATCCACAAGTCTTTTGATGTTCTTAAAAATCAGACGTGGAACTATCTTCCGAAGTCCAAACAGTGGCACATTGTTACCTTCCCTGGTGAAACACGATAGTGTTCTAGGTTCAAATACAAGCCGCCAGATAACTTGTATTCTATCTTCGGATCTCCACTTGGATATCAAACACTGAATGAAGTCGTCATCATGAAAAGCAGCATGGTACAAGATTTCTTTTGAAAGAGTTGGGTCCAACAATAATGTTGTAATTCGATCAGCAAATGTGGGATAGTGATCTTCAGTCAGCAATATGACCATCTCATTCACATTTGGATAATTTCCTTTCGTTTGAACAAGTTCCAAAAGCAACTGTACAGGGCATGTCTTGATGCAGAGGTTGGTATTGATCTTTGACAATGTGACGAACACACACTCTGATATCGACTGATGCTGAAACTCATATCCATCTTGAGTGCGCTCTAAGTATACACCACAGAGTGAATCAGCCTTTTCTCGGATTCCAACAAGACCTGGATTCTCAGGTATGTATGCACACACATCTTTTAAAGTTTCAACTATGCTGCTGAACTGTGGTGTCCTCTTCTTAAGAAGAGTGTGTTTTATACACCCGTTATACATTAGGATCAGGAGGAGAACTAGGTACCCCAAACCGTCACTTTCTTGTAGTCTGTTTATCTCCTCTAAGACATACTCATGTGGCCGAAGGAAGAAACTCACTCCCTTACCCTGTGCTTGTTTGCTGTCTGCAAAGAACTTGCAACACTGAGGAAAACCCAGGGCTGCTCTTGATGCAGTAATAACTTCTATATCCTCCGTTGTGAAGCCACTCTTGATTGGACAGATAGTCTGCAGCATTTTCCTTTTCTCACTGTGCTGAAGTGCATATTCTCCCTCATCCAACGTGACACACGGCATGTCCTTCATCAAATTATATTTCTTCAGTTCATCTTCACACTTGACACTTATTTCTGGTCTCGATGTGATGACAAGAAGGATATGCTGTGATTCAATTGATGGCCACATAATATTAAATGTTTTTTCCCATTCACCTACTCTTGAAGGGACTAAGTTACTGGACCCAAATATGTTATCTAACATCACAATGTACCTGCGTCGATCACGGCCTGTTCTTTTGGGTATCAGTTTCCATTCCTCAGCTGATGTCAGTAAAACAGGTACTCTGCTGTTGTCTTCAGATAGTTTCGACAGAAGTCTAAGACCAAGCCTTGACTTGCCAGAACCAGATCTCCCTTTGATGAATATCCTTCCGTGGTCTGTCAACAGTCTTAAAGATGACCTCTCGTAATAGGTGGACACGTATGCTGTGTCATCATAACTCATAAGTTCATTCGTTGAATCTGAAAAAGAAGTAGATTCGTCTCTACTATTCTTAAATAAATGACGGTTAAAGTTTCATTTTGTGTTTGGTGTTCAGAACAAGTGTTCATAGAAAATTTAATTCAATGTTCAAAGTTTTGCAAAAGAACTTGAGTGTGCGTAGGCATATTTATATGCTTATGTCATTTTTTTCAGACATGACATTACTTGATCATATCTTGTGAATGCCATTTTGGGATCTGAATAGTTTTAGAAACACAGTACATACCACACATATTTTGGAAACGTCGACCTGAAATAAAACAGAATAGAAACGGTTACCATGTGAAAAACAGTGCTGCGTGTGACACTTTGTTTCAAATGGACAGTTTGTATATGAGCGATAAGAATTTATTCTATATCTATTTAAGCCATTTTAAACCCGTAAGCTCTCGCTTGGGCAGTACAAAATTTCACACTCGTTTCGTAGAAGAAGTATCACACACTAGCTCGAGTGCAATAATTTCTTTATTATCCATTTTATTCATGTACATTTGTGTAGCAAAACACAGTAAGCAAGTGTGGCGGCCCTGTTCATTGATGTCACGTTCAATTGTTTAATGACGTCACAGACTACGAACATAAACAATGGTTGCTAGGCAAACGTGATATGTGCACATGCGCACACATGATATATATGACATGGGTTTTGTTTCACCATATGGATAATAAATATATAGAACGTCATACTAGTGCATTTGGATGTTTGTATTGAACGAGATGTCATGGGAGCAGAGAAACAACGTGTTCTATATTTATTGTATACCCTCTTATCTTGCATTAATCTGTTGCAAAACAAATCATAGCGTAGCGATACATATGTTCACGCCTCTCGATACTTCCGCATTGAAGTTAGTTTGACATCAATTATCACTCCGCGCGTGAGCGGATCACGCAACTGACCTAGATCATACATTCCTCCGCATGACGTCATAAATCAGGTCCCACTTTCACAATTTACCATAGGCAAAATAATGACACCATTCTAATGAAATTCATTCATATTTTAATACATACAAACTTGCATGAAGGAACGAACAAGCTTTTCGACGTATAAATCGAATCTGTCAAGCAAAGCAATAAACATTTCATAAAGTTCAAGTACGGAAAATCCCGGAAACTGCCGAGCTTTGGAGAGAGTAGAACCGGCAGGGGTTCCATACGGAATCTGGGGTGCAATACGGAGTTTGACTACGTCATACGTATAGCACCTTTATATTACTATCCTAAGTTTACATGGGTGTATAATAAGATAAATTATGTTCTCTGTAAGTATGACATAACGTAAAACTCTCTGTAAGAATGACGTCAAATATTTATCCTTGCATGTATGACGTCATATAATAGTTTATTAGCCATATATACCCGGGCAAATTTATGTAGTGCTCTCGCTCTAGCTCGAGCAATACAAAATTTCACAAGTCGTATGACACACTTTCTTGTGTGATAATCTCTATATCCGTAAGCAAGTATGGCGTTAAATAATATCCATTGTATGCATTACGTCACGTAACACTATTTGTAAGTATGACGTCATATAATACTATCTGTAAGTATGATATCACGTAACACTCCCTGCAAATGTACTGTGTTTCAGACTGTCGCCGCGTCTACTACCTGTGCATTGTAGAATCTCCATCTTCTGTCTTCCTACTTCTTGTTGTAAATCTGTGAAACAAATGATTTTAGTAAATTCTTTTGCAGCTTTACATTAGAGAAAGATTGAGTTGATCTTAATACACTATTCAAGGGAATTCGCATCATAAACAATTGATACATTTCAACTCGTTTAATGATATTTATTCGCTGAAAAAATGAATCTGATAATTTTTCTTTTCACAACTCGATTGTACTATTATGGTATTGCTATCGTTATAAATCATGGAGATCGGTAATCGTTCACAAAAAAAAGATCGATTATCGAAAAATACGACGCAACGTGCCAAAAATGCCAAAAATGTCGAAATGACTAGATACCATTCAAAAAAGTAATGCATGTTGGATTTAGAAGATTGCTAAAATGCAAATGATGAAGCCAAGGAGGAAACAGATGATGAAGAGAAATTAAGGGAAATTAAAATGTGACAATTTATTCCATCCCTTTGGAAATGTTTCATCTGTATGGATATATACACTCAGGGGCATAAGAAACGATACCAACTTTTTGAAATTATAATTTGTGTTTGGACTTTGATATTTTGAGTATTTATGGTCAGAAACATTCAGCCGAACGCAACAAAACTGACTCAATGAAACAGCGATGCACCCGCAAAGCAAGAACCCAGAAAAGTGAACTTATTCACGAAGGTTTCGTGCACGTGCACACTTGACACACGTGACAAATATTCGGTATGAAAGCACGGGAAAATGTTTATGGACATCTACATTTTACGATTACATTTGCGACCATGACGAGATTATCGAAAGAAGAGAGATAAAGGGCAATCGGCATGAGCCAGCTTGACGCTACCCACAATCACGTCCCAGGATCTTCGGTTGTAGCCGATTTACAATAACCAGGCTGATGACCCTTTACAGACAGAGAGGCAGGACACAGGACAGGCCGAGGAGTTGGCAGACTTCGGGTCACGACCCCAGCTGAAGACATTTGTGCAACCGATTCCTCACTGTGACGTCATCAGCATCGACTGCGCTGTGTCATCGTATCAGCCGAAGGACGGTGTCCAGGAGACTTCGTCAGCATGGTATCCGAGCCTACAGACCCTAGCGTGGTGTAGCACTGAGACGCCTCCATCGAAAAATACCACGTAACTTTGGGCAAAAATGCCAAAAATGTCGAAATGAAATGACAATGACATGACAATGGAAGGAGTTCTGTAGTTTTTATCAGTTCAATGTAGGCGGATGGAATGAGGGTTCCTTGGTCTCTTTTGATTTCAACTGCTTCTGGTGAAGTCCAGGAGGTTTTAGATAATGTTTCCACGTTGTCCCATTCAATGTTGTAATTAGTGCAGTTGATTATGTATTCTCAGAACAGAGCACTCCAGCAATCATTGCCAATTAATCCCATCTGCTATGTACACCTTCTTCTGCCTCCTCAACATTGGCTTCCTCCCATTTGTATTGTATCATTACCTACCCCATTTGATATGTATACCTTGTTCCGAAACCTCAACATTGGCTTCCTCTCCTTGTTATTGTATCATTACCTACCCCATCTTCTATGTATACCTTGTTCAGACTCCTCAACATTGGCTTCCTCTCATTGTTATTGCATCATTACCTACCCCATCTGCTATGTATACCTTGTTCCGAAACTCCAACATTGGCTTCCTTTCATTGTTTTTGTATCATTACCTACCCCATCTCCTATGTATACCTTGCTCCGCCTCCACAATATTGGCTTCCTCTCATTGTTATTGCATCATTACCTACCCAATCTGCTATGCATACCTTGCTCAGACACCTCACCACTGGCTTCATCCCATTGTTATTGTATCATTACCTACCCCATCTGCCATGTATACCTTCTTTTCCCTCCTCAACATTGGCTTCCTCCCATTTGTATTGTATCATTATCTACCCCATTTGATATGTATACCTTGTTCCGAAACCTCAACATTGGCTTTCTCTCCTTGTTATTGCATCATTACCTACCCCATCTGCTATGTGTACTTTGTTCCGCCTCCTCAACATTGGCTTCCTCTTATTGTTATTGCATCATTACCTACCCATCTGCTATGTATACCATGGTCAGACTCCTCAACACTAGCTTCATCCCATTGTTATTGTATCATTACCTACCCCATCTGATATGTATACCTTGTTCTGCCTCCTCAACATTGGCTTCCTCCCATTTGTATTGTATCATTACCTACCCCATTTGATATGTATACCTTGTTCCGAAACCTCAACATGGGCTTCCTCTCCTTGTTATTGTATCATTACCTACCCCATCTGCTATGTACACCTTGTTCTGCCTCCTCAACATTTGCTTCCTCTCATTGTTATTGTATCATTACCTACCCCATCTGCTATGTGCACCTTGTTCTGCCTCCTCAATATTTGCTTCCTCCCATTGTTATTGTATCATTACTTACCCCATCTACTATGTACACCTTCTTCTACCTCCTCAACATTGGCTTCCTCCCATTTGTATTGTATCATTACCTACCCCATTTGATATGTATACCTTGTTCCGAAACCTCAACATTGGCTTCCTCTCATTGTTATTGTATCATTACCTACCCCATCTGCTATGTATACCTTGTTCCGCCTCCTCAACATTGCCTTCCTCTTATTGTTATTGCATCATTACCTACCCATCTGCTATGTATACCATGGTCAGACTCCTCAACACTAGCTTCATCCCATTGTTATTGTATCATTACCTACCCCATCTGCTATGTATACCTTGTTCTGCCTCCTCAACATTGGCTTCCTCCCATTGTTATTGTATCATTACCTACCCCATCTGCTATGTATACCTTTTTCTACCTCCTCAACATTGGCTTCCTCACATTTGTATTGTATCATTGCCTATCCCATTTGATATGCATACCTTGTTCAGAAACCTCAACATTGGCCTCCTCCCATTGTTATTGTATCATTACCTACCCCATCTGCTATGTATACCTTGTTCAGCCTCCTCAACATTGGCTTCCTCTCATTGTTATTGCATCATTACCTACCCCATCTGCTATGTAAACCTTGTTCATACCCCTCAACACTGGCTTCATCACATTGTTATTGTATCATTACCTACCCCATCTGCTAAGTATACCTTGTTCTGCCTCCTCAAAATTAGCTTCCTCCCATTGTTATTGTATCATTACCTACCCCATCTGCTATGTATACCTTGTTCTTCCTCCTTCCTCAACATTGTTATTGCTTCCCCCCACTGTTATTGTATCATTACCTACCCCATCTGATATGTATATTACTTGGTCTGCCTCCTCAATATTGGCTTCCTCCCATTGTTATTGTATCATTACCTACCCCATCTGCTATGTATACCTTGTTCTGCCTCCTCAACATTGACTTCCTCCCATTGTTATTGTATCTTACCTACCCCATCTGCTATTTGTACCTTCTTTCTTCCTCCTCCTCAACATTGGCTTCCTCCCCATTCTTATTGTATCATTACCTACCCCATCTGCTAATGTGAACCTTGTTCTGCCTCCTTAACACTGGCTTCCTCCCATTGTTATTGTATTATTACCTACCCCATCTGCTATGTATAACTTGTTCTGTCTCCTCAACATTGACTTTCTCCCTTTGTTATTGTATCAA